GCCGTGTAGCGGTATTCAAACTACGCAACCCGGAGAGGCTTTTTGGACGCGATTCCACTGCCGAAAAGCAAGTTCTGCCTCTACAACCTCACGCGAGAAGCGTAAATATGATAATACACCATTTCGCTCTGTTGTGACTTCCAAACTCCTCCAACTATTACTTACTGTATTTGGGAGCGTGGATGAGGCAGACGGAACCTAGTGCAGTTAACCTACATATATAGGTTAGAAACAGAAACAACGCGACGTTTCATGTACAATGTAAAGAAAAATCCACTAAATAACCAAATGATATATTATCTTGTGACACAAGACAAATCCAAATACTTGCCTACGTGGATTTAGTCACGTAATGGCATTTTCACACGGTAACAGTAATGCGGAAAGTTTCGTGGGTGTTTAGCATAACGTGTGCCGTGCGGTGCGGTGTGCGCATAGTTCGTGGCCGAATACGGGAAGAATGTACACGGCCGGTGAATAATGGCTGTAGCCATTCATAGGGAATTCGCTGCTAGCTTAGGCTATTCGTCTACTATTCTATTTTGCTGCATTATTACCAGAGCCATTGTGGGGACGCCAGTTTTAACCCCTTTTAGAAAATGCCCACCTGATTTGACATAGTTGCAATATATAACTTTTTTACGAAAAAACCACCCACAAAAGTTTGCCTATCTGATTTTTCTGTGTTAGTTACATGAATTTGCCAAGTTTTATTGAAATCGATTAAAGGAAAGTGGGTGGAATCCAATAAACCGGATTTATACCTTAATTTGCCGCCCTTAGAGGTGGAATATTTTCCTGAAATTTGAATGGGTTCACTGCTGAGGTACCGTTTTTCCAACAAAAAAGCATCACTGAAATCGGTTCACAAATGTGATGAGGAGTAATACCGTAACATGCACACAAATACCTTCTCTTTTTCAAAGTTCAAAGCATAAAGCCTATTTAGCATGAATAGTTCAAAGTATTAATAATGAATGAGTAAAAATACTGCACAAAATACGTATTCTCCTGTATTAGTGGGAGTCAAAGCTTTGAAACTCGCTGTCATTTGAAATTCACTGAAATGGATGGTCAGTAATGGCAGCCCAACTCTTTACACAGTGTTTCCTGACAATTACGTGATTGTGCCCCATCTAATGAAAATGTTATAATCATAGGAACTCGTGTGTAGTAGACATGTGGCCATAGAAAAAGCGGATGTTAAGAAAAACCTAAGAAAGACGTTTGTTACAGTGGAAATCCTCTCTCTTTATTGCATTGTGAGATAGGTGTGATGGTATTTGTCAAGTATATTACGATGCATTTCCCAAGTCAGCATCGGTACCATGAGTTCTCAGCATCGAGTATATACCCAGAAATAGAGACGAAATGTCGTTCAATTTGTTTAAAAACTATTCTGCCAAATCAAACTGCGCTCCGATTGGCCAACCCGAATTCGAAACAATTGATGAGTGTCGTCAATTGTTTCATTTCAAATCGACCAGTTTAACTCGAGATTTGCTATACTTAACGAAAATTTATATTTAATTACCGATGAAATGTGATTCCGTTTGTTTTGTAGAAAGATGTTTTGCTGTTTTTCCCACACCACCGAATGGAACAGCCCCCCATAATTAGAGATATTATCTTATTACAATAAATACAGAATATTTTCGGAATATACGGAGACGTACACACAGGTCAGTTGTTAGCGCTGTACTGTTGCAGCTTTCTAATGTGTACCATTTGACTGATGAGTTGCCAGGGATGGATGGACCGTGTTTCGTCTCTATTTCTAGTTATATACTCTATGGTTTCCAGCGACAGTTGTCACTAGCGACTACGTAAGATGTTTGCATTTAAAATGTTAGTTTCCATTGTGACCGCTAGGGTTGCTGTACAATTGTTTATACAAAAGTGTGAAGTAGCCTATGGTAGAGGCACTGAATAAAAAACATTGTTTTTTTTATAATACCAAGTGACGGGACGAACAATTGCGCCTGGTGGTAAGCGACACGCCTGTCCATAACATTTGCAGTGCGACTCAAAGCTTCTAGTCGCAAAGTTCTGAGGAGCAATGCCAAAGCGTCCGTCACCCTAAGGCTGCTAACAGATTGACAGCATGTCTGCAGTGAATGCGTGAAGTCATAACCAACTTCATGCCCACAAGTCAATCTGTTAGCAGCCTAAGACATACATAAGTTAGCAAGTCCTATGTGCCTATAATTTCACCAACACCCTTACCCTTCAAAACAGAAACGCAGTAATGCTCATATTGTTGCTTGGCGGCAGAATTAGGTAAGGTGGCAGTACTTACCTGGACGAACTCTTTCACAAGCAGCTCTACTGCTACTAGCTTAACTAAGCTTAAAACTAAGACAAAGAGCGGAAATCTTGTCTTTTTATCACATTGTAATATATATAGGCGTGATAACTTTTACATACGAATACATATATATACACTACTTGTTAACTTAGAACTAAAAACGTTGTACAAGTATACACACGGCTTGGAGAAGACCGACAAGTCCTATACTACTACCAACCAAAGTGATATGAACCTTCTATTATTCTTCCATTGTGGTGTTCCATGTTATGACGGGGCATGACAGAATAACAGCGAGGGCGTAATGAATATAGTCCTCAGAGGCTGAGTCATGGACCCTTTTGACATGGTTTTATTTTATTATTGTGTATGCTTCTTTTTTTTATTAGTTTTTTGTTTGAAATTTATGCATGCCGATTAAAGCCTATTTTAATTATTATTTTTTTGTTTCTTTTATTATTTCTATAAAGCCAATATTCATTAATGCTGGATGATAAACTTCATAAAATTTTACATAGAGTTTATAGAACCTCAAATGGCTTGGTTAATTCCACATTACAGTGAGAATGTTGAAACAATCACTTTGGAAAAACATATAAATTTGAGGATATACTGATTACTATACGGTGTGAAAACACAATTCATAAAAATTTTCACGATAGAAAAAAGTTCAGTAGGTAACATATACTAATGATTTTTTTTTTAATATCAACTGAACTAAATAGAACACGTATAGTATCCGATATACATTTTTCAACTCTTGATCTAAAATAACATAAAGGGGGAATTAAATCAATATTGCAACGGAGGAAATTAAAAAAATCTTCAAAAATCTCTTGTATAAGGGGTTGGTAAAGAAATGTTTGATCTTCTTGAAGAAGTAAAAAGCAAATGGGTAAAAAAAAATATTCGATTGCACGAGCAGAATTTCCCTTCCTTTAGGTAGTAATGCAGTAACGGATGCAAAACCGAAAAGCGCTTAATCTATTGAACGTCCATGGACAAAAGGATTTGTACTTTTTTTTTAAGTATTTTTTCTTTTATATGTAGGTAAGTGCATTTTATAATACCTTTATTTATTTCACATTTGCAAGTGTAATAGAACTGCAATTTTTATTAACTTTAATCAATTTTAGTATTTGTTTTATACAGAAAATGGCATAATCAATGTTATAGCATGAAAAATTTTAGATATTTTATTATATCATTAAAAACAATTTAATATTTTTGTTGTGTAATTTTCAATTTATATTTTTATTTATTACTTTGCTTGTTTTCTATTTTTAAGTTTTTAGCTACACCCTAACGGGATACGTGTATTGCAACTGTTATATAATAAACATCAGCATGTTTATTCAATCATTTATTTAATGATAACTAAAGATACGTGTTACAAATTATGCACTACAGAGAGGACGCCATGACAGGAAGTGTTGCATGCGCTTGTCCATAGACTACAAATATATTGGCACGTTTCATTGTACGTTCATATGCAACAGCAATTTTTATTATTTATCACTTTACATATTTGCTAATAAATAAATACTGAAAAAAAGTTTATATTTATAGCAGCACCTCCAAAGTAAACAGGGCGTTATTTTTAAGGGATTAAAATTACTTACGCCTACGAAATCACTTTGTTATGAGTTGTAGTTTAATGAAATGATTTTAAACTTATAACCAACTAATTTACAGTGACAATTCTGATAATCAACGTAGTTGTAAATGGAATTAACACTTTCAGTTACAAATCTTTAATAGACATGCGTAATTGAATATTTACAGTGTACGGAATATACTGAAGATATAGTGTGACCACAATGTCTTTTTCCCACATTTATTAAAAACTTTATAACGCAAAGTTGTTTCTTTTCTGACTTTGTTGTCGCCCGTTAGTTTTCAAGCCCGACCATAATGGCATTTCTTGTGGGAAAGTGACATGTGCGCGAATTATTCTATAAGTAGACCGTAATAGGCTGCCCGCGTCACTCGGCAGCGTAAATAAATAAAACCACTGTAAAGAAAATTTTTTACGGCTTTTGTTCAATCCGTATCGCGCACAGAGTTCTATTTAACAACTTCAAAATGCAATACTAGAATTAATAATATTTTCAAAACTTTTTGCAGAGTGCAGATAGCCGCTTTCAGCATATTGTATTTTACTGGATTGTCATTGAAATAAAACCAAATATTTGTTTTAATGGTTTTTAAATATAAAGGCAATGTATTAACAATTTCCTTCGGCAGCGTTTTATTTCTCATTCATACCTCTAAGTTATTGATATTCCAAGAATTCGCACATAGCGTTCCGCTTCCACATTTATATGGCGAACGGGCATCGAGTAGAATTCCCTGCCTGCAGACTTACTCCCTGAACGCTACAAATAGAGCCTTTTCAAGGCGAGAGTGAATAGGCATTATTTAGGTGTGCATACTCCATCTTCGACCTGATCATCACTTCCCAACAATTGACATGGTGAACAAAAGCGCTCTATTTTTTAAAAGAAAAAAATATTATTGAGTGACAAAGAAAAATAAAGGAATTGACTTCGGGTATTTCAAATTGATCCTGTGGCAACACTCACGTGTGCTATACAGCTATGTATGATAACTTCAAACAAACCAGATTTTGAAAACTTTGTTATTTGGCAATGTAAATTCATTTGTTAATATCGTTTTGCTTTTGTTCCAGATGGCACCACTGCGAATGGGGTGCCGCGTTGCGGCATTCCTTACCTCCAATACCTTTTTGGTAAATATATTCATATTTTTTAAATAAATTAGAACACCACATCTATTAACTATATAAACCACCTCACTAGGTACCGTAACTGACGTTTTGGTCGTAACTATTTTACAAGCAAATATATATATATATACCTAGTCAGGTCATAAATTCTGTCACATGTTTAATATAAAATAATTGAAACAAGTTTATTCATTATGTAACCATTTATATACCAAAATGAACTTAACAAAACATTAATTAACCTTAACAAAATATAGATTCTTATGACACTAAAGTTTATTCAAAATGACCTCCGTGATTTTGAATACAGGCTTTCAATCTGCGCGGCCAGTTGTCTATCGCAGCACGAACGAGGTCCATGTCAATATCGGCGGCTGCCTTAATCAAGGATGTCTTGAGTGACTCCAAATTGGGATGAGGCTTTGAGCACGCCTTTTCCTCCAAGTGTTGCCTGTATCTTGTAATCTAACGGATTCAAATCTGGACTGGAGGAGGGCCAGTCTTCGTGCCGGATGAAGTCGATTTCACGCGCCGCCAGCCAGTCTTGTGTGCTCTTCGCTCTATGAGCTGGCGCCGAATCTTGTTGGAATACCCAGTGCCTGTTATTGAACATGGTATGCGAAACAGGTTCCACAAGGTTCGTCAGGACTGTATTTTGATACACAACTGCATTCGTTTTTACACCTTTCTCACAAAAATGTGTTTTTCTTCGATATGCCCGAAGCCCTAAGTCTTCATTTAACACCCTTTTCACCGTGGTTCTGCTTAACCCCATCTGAAGGGCCAACAGTTTCTGCTTACGTTTGGGATTTCTTTGAATTCGCGCCTTCACAGCTTTTATCACTGCTGGAGTCCTAACAGACCGAGGGCGACCACTTCTTGACCTGTCATCTACACTAGAGTCTTCATTGTATCGTTTGATGGTACGATAAACGAATCTTTTGGTTATATTCAAATTTTTCAGTATGTCAAAAATTTGAATTGGCGCGTAACCGCAACGATGCAACGCAATAACTGCAACACGGTCTTCTTTAAGCGTCCATTCCATATTTAAAAATGAGTAAAATTCTAAAAAGTATACATTTTTATTTTCATGAACAATTCGAAATTCGCTTTTTTGTGGCGAAAAACTTTTTTGTGGCCAGCATTCTAAAAGAAACGTTTTTACTGTGTGACAATACTTATGACCTGACTGTGTATATATATAATACATGGCACATACATGGGCACGCGTCTCTAAGGAGACGGTTTAGTCTGCAACGCTGGCCTAATGCGGAGTGACTGCGAACCTCCTTCAAAATTTTTTTTATAATACCACGTGACGGGACGAACAAATCGTGTGCCTGATGGTTAGCTACACGCCATAACAGTTGCAGTGCCACCCAGAGCTTAAGTCGCAAAGATCTTAAGGCTACTGCCCCACTACGCCAGTTACCCTGAGATATAAGATGAGAAGTCCCATATGCCTGTAATTTCAAAAGCCCCCATGCCCTTTAAAATTGGAATACAGTAAAGCTGATATTAGGCTACTGACGATTGACTGCATGTTTGCAGTTAATGCGTGAAGTCTTAATCAACTGCACGCAGCCGAAACCTCGACTGCAAGAAGTCGGTTTCGACGTCGGATAACGACTTCACACATTAACTGCATGAAATCGAGATCGATACAGTTAATCTGTTTGCAGCCTAACTGCGTGACGGCAGAAGTATGTAAGGTGACAGTACTTTCCTGAACGAACTCTACTGCTACTAAAATTATTATATTGAATCAATAGAAGCACAAAAGTAGTACCGTCCATGAAGGGGTTAAGACACAAACGGTCACCCACTGGGCTGTCACCGCTCTTTTTTATCTCACATTAACTTTAGTCATAAACATAAAATAATTATTCCTCAATTCAACGTAATATTTGTAAACATGCGTGTTGACATTAGAGCACAGATATTGCAACTCAATTATAGGCATATTAGGGGAGGCACTCACTCGAAGATATCTAAACCAATCATCTATTAATTAATCGGAGAAACCTCCATGTGCTTACGTAGGTACATAATATACATACATGTATTTAATATATGTGTGATTCACTATGTGTTGTGAATTATCTGTTGATTGTTCGTGAGAACACTAAATAGTTTGCGGTACTAAACGGATATGAAGTAGAATTTGCAAGATGTACCTTAACGTATTAAATGAACAAGGAATATGGACGGACTTGCACCATAGTAGAAAAGGAACAAGTAGGGCAACTCCCGCCTGTTATGTGTACAACTTACAGGTTATTTTTATTTATTTTATGTGACATCATTTGAAAAAAGTAAAAATGTTCATCTCAGCCTTCTCGTGTTATATTAAAACAAACCTTTGTTAAATGCACTATGTACCTACTGACGTAACTACGTATTGTCTATAAAAATGGATGACAGGTAATTTTATCTAAATTTCTATTTATTCGTAGAGGGTTGTTAAGGTACTGTTTGGGGTAAAAATAATAAATGAATTATTTTTATTTTAGGAAGAGTAAAAGGAAATAAAAAATTATGTTTAAAATTGAGAAATGTTGCGTTGTCAACAGCAAATCTTCCTCAAATTCAGTTCAAAGATATTTACACGAGGATTGGTATCCTGATTAATAAATAGAAATTACGTACTGAACAATTCTGAATTTGAGTCACTCTTCCACTGTTCGGACCGCCACGAACACCGAACGACCGCTTCAATTTGACGCGTGAGACGACCCGTACTATGCAACGCGTGTGCACCGCTAGATTATGCGAATGTGTGCGTAGTGCGTACATACATGCCGCGCTGTGTTTTGTACATTATTACGGAGTTGCCATATTGGTCTTATTATACTATACTTGCACTAAGGCGTTGGTTTATCATAGATTGGATTCTTCAGGATAATATTGAGTAGTTTTTCTGGTGAAATTACTGGGACATGGAACTTGTCAACTTATGTCTCAGGGTGACGGGCACAATGGCAGTGCCCCTCAGAGCTTAGGGATTTAAAACTTTGAGTGGCACTGTAACTAATATGGACCGGGGAGTCGCTTACCACCAGACACGACTAGTTCGTCCTGTCATTTGGTATCATAAAAAAAAGGTGAAAACGTTGTCTATCGATCTAGTTATTGTAATGTTATGGTAAATACAGTGGTGTTGTACAGAATCGTCTGTTTGTATCCTAGAGGCATACTGCAAGAAAAGGAAATAACATTAGCTTATTGTACGCTACTATATATACTAGTTGACTGAAGGAGGAATGGTGAGGGTGGAAGTAAATTGAAAAGTTACTGCGAAGCCGTTAGAAAACCGAAATGCGGGCCACTTTTCTGCGGTGGTGTTCGTGGTGGTTGCTTGAAACAAGACTCGTCTAAAAAAACAACACAACCTCAAAAGTTATCTGTATTAGTTACCGAGGTTTAATCAACAATAACTGAAAAGCATATGGAAATCCTCGTTAGCTTTTGTACATTGCTGAGGAGATCCTCTCTGCCATTTCCATCACGAGATCAGCTCTAGACACCATATCATTCTATACTTTCATTGGAATTACTTCTATGTCTAGTTTTATTGAAATCGGTAAACGAAAAGTGAGTGGTTCACCTTCCATCTTAGAGTGGAATATTTTCATCAAATTTTGATGGAGAAAAAAACATTGTGGATTATTAAAAATCACACAAGTAAAGCAAAATAAGGTTAAACTCCAGAACACTGTACATTTTTACTTTCACAAATACAGACTCGTGCAACCGGCATTTCCCCTTCGAATGAACACCCCTTTCAACCCTTTAAATAAACACCTTCCTGAACTATCAATCAATACGCAAAACATAATCTGATTTTCCGTCTAAACCAGAATAACACAGATTCCATGCGTCATTAGAAACAGTCGGATTTTCCAAATAGCCACAATGTTTTCGAATGCACCTGATCCATTCCCGATTTCAGGAGACACCTGTTTGAATACAATGTGTATAAAACTGGAGGCCAAATTTAAATGGAAATGCTTCCCCAATAACCAGTTTTAAAATACCCTTAGCAGCTGGTTGAGGTTAGGTGGACAAGGTTCAATATGAAGTGGTAATAGTTACGATCGCGGTTCATTTGCCCACAAACGCCGGTCAACGAAGCGTTATGCAGATTTCAAAGCGCTCGCCCGTGCTATGTTTTCAACGCTCACAAAATGTTCATCATTTCCTTGAATGGTTTTCGGATTTTGTTTGCTATAAGTCAAAACTAATTCATTGAATTCTTTATAAAGTTGGGTAAGAAATTCAGTGACTTTGTTTGCTTTCAGTGACAAAATCGCGACGATCAAATATAAAACTGTATACGTTATTACAATGAGATTCCGAAGCATATATTAAGATTATCATTTCCTAAGTGTAAAAACTACATTGAAAATATTTTGATTGAAAAGTCATATTACAAAATTGAAGACTACGTGTTAGATAAAGATGTATGGAAAGACGACATGGCTCCAGAATCCACACAAATTTGATTCAAAGTCCATAGCATTTAAGTTTATTTGGAAAGAGCAATAGACCTAGAGTTTCTTTTTATATATTTATTTATTTAGGCACATCAACAGGTAATACATTATTACATTTTACAGATTAATTATATTCTAAGTCATGGTCCGATGTTATTACCCACTACAGATATGCACAACATTGGCTATAAGCAATAACAATATTTACTTAACACTAACGCAGGCTACTAACACCGAAAATTTAAAAAGAAATAAAAAAATTGATGATAAAATTAAAGAATGAAAAAATTAAAAACACAATCAACTCAAATTTGCCAGTTTGCGCACAGTACTGCAAGACCCAGCGTCAATAAGACCCTCCGTGAATCCGAATGCCGACCTAGGTTAGTTCTACACGGGGGAATACAAAAAATCTTTCGTACCTTTTGCCTAGGATAACTATAAGGAACTGAGATTTGGAGAGATTCCACCAGCACACTACATTTTATGCATCCACTAATAACC